AGTCTTGCTCTGTCACCCAGGCTGGAGTGCAGTGGCACGATCTCAGCTCACTGCAACTTCTGCCACCCTGGTTCAAGTGATTCTCCTGCCTCAGCCTCCTGAGTAGCTGGGATCACAAGTGCATGCCACCACGCCCAGCTATTTTTTGTATTTTTAGTAGAGATGGGGTTTCACCATGTTGGTCAGGCTGGTCTCGAACTCCTGACCTTGTGATCTGCCTGCCTCGGCCTCCCAAAGTGCTGGGATTATAGGTGTGAACCACCGTGCCCGGCCTGATTTCATGACTTTTTGCATGCACTTTGTGTGTGTGGCGCGGGGAGGGGTTCTTTGCCATTTTGTCACAGATATAGACTTGTGTGTCCCCCACAGTGAAGATACAGAACTGCTCCACGGCCCCAAAGTGAACTCTATGCTACCCCCTTTGGAGTCACCGCCACCGCCACTATCCCCTGACTTCTAGCACACTTGTCTCTATTCCAGCAGAATTTTTTGGTTGAATTTTTACCCAGACTCATCAGCTTTGGTGGCCTGGACAACCTCTTCCCTCCCCCTCCCCCTTTCCCTAGTGGTAGCAAGAAGGCCACAGCTGGATGGGGGAACCACAGGGTGTCTGATGAGCAAACTGAAGTGGACAGGGAGGCGGGGCAGGGGATGGGGGCAGGTGGCGATTTGAGGTGGAGGCTGAAGTCCTGGTGAACCCAGAGAATAGAAAGGCGTGAAGGGTCCCCTTGGGAGGCAAAGGGGTCCGGATAGGGAGAGAGAGATGGGAGCGATGGTGAACTGTCTCTGGAGTCCGAGAAACCCCATGCCAGTTCAGCTCCTGCCGTTTGCTATCTGAGTGGGCCTGTGCCAGTGGCTTCATCTTCCTCGGCCTCAGCTTCCTGGTACTACAGAGGGTTTAGCACAGAGGCGAAGCTGGGGGGTGTGTTGGTTGCTCTCTTTCGGGCTCCTAAGCATCGGGGGTGGATGGAAGACTTCTGCTGCCCCCGCCCCACTTAGCTTCTCCGTCTGCTCAGCAGCTCAGAGCCCGACTGTGGCCGAGACACTGCATCCTGCCTTCTCCGGAGTCCAGCAGTACACAGGTAGGAGGCAGCCCGCGTGCCCGCGCTGGGCTCTGGCCCCGCCCCCGCCTTGTTCTGTGCCTAGCCACGCCTCCTACCTCTGGCCCCGCCCCTCAGGGCACACCCTTGGCCTCTTGTCCCGTATGCAACCCCTATCCCTGTTCCTGGTTCCACCCCATCACCAGGTATAGCCGCAAACAGGACCTTCCCTTGTCCCTTAAGGTCAGCGCTTACCCCTAGCCTCACCCTCTCATATTCTGTGCTGGGGAGAGGCGGTTCCCCTTGACCACACCTCTGGCCCAGACCCAACCCCAGCTCTCCGCCCCGCCGCTTACCTTCCTCCGGCAGCTCCTAGCCCCGCCCCTCTCATTCTGTCTTTACTCTGACCATGCCTCTCTGATAAAGCCCTGCCCCTACTTCCCAAGGCCTGGCTGTGACCCCGCCCTCTGCTTCGGCCCCGCCCCTCAACTCATGGTCCTGCCCACATAGCCCTCTATCAAGTCACGGCCCCGCCCCACTCTTCCCCTTCACTCTGGTCTTGGCCATGCCCTTCACTGTGGCTCCACCCCTCAAGCAATGGTCTCACCCACTCTGCGCTGACCTATGACCTTGGCCCCGCCCTCTGCTGTGGCGCACCTCCCGTACCCCTCTCCTCAAGCCAAGGGGTCCACCGCCACCCCAAACCCACACCGCCTCTTTGTCTTGGCCCTGCCCTCCACCACGGCCACGCCCCTCAGGCAATAGCCCTACTTCATTTTGTCCTTGTGTTCTTGGGCCCGCCCTCTGACATGGCCCCGCCCCCCACTCCCCAGAGCCATGGCCACACCCATTCTCATTTTGGCCCGCCTTCTCTCGTGGCCCCGCCCCGCCCCAACGCCCGGGGCGCCCACGTGGCCTCACGCCCCCCCTCGCCCTGTGTCTTGCTCCGGTCTCCGCAGCCATGTACCCCACCGCGGCCATCACGCCCATCGCGCACAGCGTCCCCCAGCCGCCGCCCCTCCTGCAGCAGCAGCAGCGAGAAGGTGAGGCGGCCGCGACCTCCCCTGGGCGCCAGCCCCGCCCTCTGCCCGCCCCGTCCACCTCCAGGCTCCGTGTCTGGCCCGGGCGTCTGGGACCCGAAGGGCTGAGAGTGCGGCCTGGGAGCTGGACGGGCCAGAGTTGAGTCCTGGTGCAGTCGCTGGCTCCCTGGGTGTTCTCGGGTAACGGAATCTCCCTCTGTTTCCTCTTCTGAAAAGAGAACCATGCTTGTCCCGACCCCATAGGAATAGCAGTGACTTCCTACCAACCTTCTCCAGTACCAAGAGTGATTCTCTGGATTTTTTGGAGAGGAAACCCTTTTTGAGGATGGGGCATGGCACGATGAGGTATCTCAGGTAAACTGAGGCCTCCCCAGTAAAGCTAAAGCTGTCGAGGGAGGGAGGGATTAGATTCTGGAGTCTGACAGGGTTCAAATCCACACAGTTCTTGCCACGTGTGATAGCTCCCGCCTGTAATTGCACAGCGTTTTGGGAGGCCAAGGTAGGAGGATTACTTGAGCTCAGGAGTCCAAGACTAGCCTGGCTTAGCAAGACCCCATGTCTAAAAAAACAAAACAAAAAATTAGCCAGGAGCTGTGGTACACACCTGTAGTCCCAGCTACTCAGGAAGCTGGGAGGTCAAGGCTGCAGTGAGCTACTGTCTCCCTACTGGGCTCCAACCTGGGTGAGAGTGAGACCCCATCTCAAAAAAAAAAAAAAAAAAAAATCCCAGGCTGGTAACAACAAAAGTGTTATAAATCAGCAGGAAGATGGATAAATAAATTAGGATGGATCAGCACAATGGAATACTATACAGCAGTAAAAAAGGAGGATAGGTACACAATGCTCACAATGACACAGAGTAACTTCACAGGCAGAAAACTGAGTGAAAGAAGCCAGATACAAGAGATTCCACTTAAATGAAGTTTTAAAACAGTAGGCCAATTGAGGTGGCTTACGCCTGTAATCCTAGTATTTTGGGAGGCTGAGAAGGGTGGATTGCCTGAGCTCAAGAGTTCGAGACCAGCCTGGCCAACCTGGCAAAACCCTGTGTCTACTAAAAATATAAAAAATTAGCTGGGAGTGGTGGCAGGTGCCTGTAATCCCAAGTACTGGGGAAACTGAGGCACAAAATTGCTTGAACCAGAGAGGTGGAGTTTGCAGTGAATCAAGATTGTACCATTTCAACCTGGGTGACAGAGCAAAACTGTCAATAAATAAATAAGCTGGACGCGGTGGCTCACGCCTGTAATCCTAACACTTTGGGAGGCCGAGGTGGGTGGATCACCTGAGGTCAGGAGTTCAAGACCAGCCTGGCTGTCATGGTGAACCCCATAAATAAATAAATAAATAAATAAGCCAGGCGTGGTAGCTCACGCCTGTAATCCCAGCACTTTGGGAGGCTGAGGCGGGGTGATCACAAGGTCAGGAGATTGAGACCATCTTGGCTAATACAGTGAAAACCTGTCTCTATTAAAATACAAAAAATTAGCTGAGCATGGTGGCATGTGCTTGTAATCCCAGCTACTTGGGAGGCTGAGGCAGGAGAA